CACACATTCATTCATACAGTCATTCATTCATCCCATACATCCGAAGCATCGCATATGCAATTAATGCATCACAATGCTCCATGTTGCATCATGAAGCGGCAGTTGCCTCATTCAACACGAGAAATGACCGACCGAGGTTCGAAGACCGCCCATGAAGGGCTCGAGGCCGCCTTGCGTCAAATAGAGCTAGGGGAGAAAACATAGATGAGCCCCAGTGTCCCTCGCCCAATCTGCTTAGAAGCAGATAGGGTCATCTCCACCTTCTCGTTTGATCCTAACCTCGAGCCATGCCCAAAGAATCTCCATCGAGGGCAGGCCAACGGGCCACCTGAGTCGGTCTCCGGAATGACCCGGGCATCTACGGGGACGTGGGTTAAGGAGCAGTGGAATGCCACATGAGGGCTATGCCGACCCCGTCACGAACGATAGACCCGAATTCCACTTGAACGTGCCCATTAGCGAACTCACCGAGCGCGTCGCTCGAGCCATCGAGGCAAGCAACGTTAGCTCAGCCCCTCCGGTTGTGAAAACCGCGGACGGGGTAATGCACGAAACTAGACCAACCCCTACCGAGCCCTAATGGGGCTTAGGGGCTCAGGTCGCCCGACACTGACTCAGGAAATCAACCGACCGCGCAGGTCACGGGTGGGACAAACATGGGCGAACACCTCGAACGACAGTCTGCGGCCCCAGGAAAGAGTACCAAGATGCTTAGCCTCCAACCGACTCGCCAATCGGACGCAGGCTCGGGGGCTACACCCGTGGGTGTGCTCGCGCACACCCACTGTCAAAATGAAAAATTTCCCCGCTGGCAAAACAAAAAACCCCCCCAAATGATTCTACCCGAATCGCCCGGGGGGCTCGGGGGCTACACCCACGGGTGCGCTCGCGCGCACCCGCTGTCAAAACAAAAAATCCCCTAGACAATTCTACCTGAATTGCCTGGGGGCTCGGGGGCTCCTGTCGGGTTCATAAACCTAGGGTCCCTAATGGACCTGCTTCCCAACAAAAGTTCGGCTCAGCAGATGACATTGCGAACAACGCGCAATTCTGGGCCGGCCCAGATACCCAATAATAGGCCGAAAGGGCGATCTAGTCTCCGACCGGAAGGCCTGCCCTAAGAAGGAACGACGCTCGCTTCCGACTCCGACCCGCCTCTCTAACCGGAAGGCCTGCCTAAGGAGGAACGACGCTCGCGTCCGACTCCGACCCGTCTCTCGACCGGAAGGCCTAGCCAAGGAGGGATGACGCTCGCCTCCGACTCCAACCCGCCCTCGACTGGAAGGCCTAGCCAAGGGGGACGACGCTCGCTTCCGACTCTGACTCGCCTCTCAACTAGAAGGACACCGAACCTCTGCTTACAACTCTTCTCTGACCGTCACGGTCAGAGCCGACTGGGAAACAACCGAACGGGGACGCCGCTCGATAAGGACCCAAAGAGACAAGCAGAGCAAGTAAGGTAGGGCGCTGAAGTCAAACCGCAATACCGAGGACCGTACCCTGCACACCTACGGGATAGTACTGTCAAGTCATGTCAGATGGGTGCTCCACAACCTTCTAGACGTGTCAAAACACGAACAGTGTTATGGGCGCCAACATTTGCCATACAGTATGGTAGGCGCCGACATTGGCCATACCAGAAGAACACGATGGAACCAACTAGATGCATCAGGGCGTCAACAGTATTGTAGGCACCGGCAAACCGTCTCATACCCGATGGCGTGGGCAACAAAACTAGGTAGCACACTCTCTCTCTCTTAAAGCCATCCCCTTTATCTATAAAAGGGGATGCGCTCTCTCCAAGAGGAGGACGATCAATTCAGATAGACAATTCAGACAACTGATTCCGATTCTCTCTGCTTGGATCTAGAACTCTAAAACCAGACAGAGCATACGTTCGATCACTTAGCGCATGTCGGAGCTCCCGTCACTCTTGGCCCTTTCACCAGAGTCCGACCGAACCTCTGATACCCTCTATCTTACTCCCTCTCGTTTGTAACCCCATAGCAAACTTCGAGCACTTAGGCTCAGAAATAAAGTCATCGATCGACTCAAACTGGACGTAGGGCATATTGCCTGAACTAGTATAAACCCTATGTCATTGAGTGCTAGGCCACATCCGATTACAACGTACGACAAAACTATAAATATTTACGTGTTGGTCACTTTTCGCACCGACAGGATGTATTGCTAACCAAAAGCAAAACCAAACTAGTATTCGGTTTCGTTGGAGTAGGAATGCCTAGAGGGTCATCTAGAGGAAAGGGTTTTGGGAATGGGAGGGGAAAGGGGGATGAAGGGAAGTCCCATTGTGTGGGAGGGGTCTCTTGGGCCTGATTTTTTTGAGGAACCAGTATATCAGTTTCTCCCCGAGAGTAAGAGTGATTTCACTAAACAGTACCCTCTCAGAGGATACAAAAATCGGAAAGAAGATTAGCCAAAATGCATGTATGGTGAGGACTGCTTAGTGCAGATATTCACTGAGGGGATCGACGGAGGTCGTCGCTTCTTCAAATACCCACGAGCATGGGTAATTGCTATTATATTTCGTTTATTAAATATGTTTCTTGAATACCCTTATAACTCATAGGACATACTTATTGTAGTCTTCCGACTCCGAAGAAAACTATAGGCTCACTAGGTGGGTTGATCCTCGACCAATTTATCCGCATCAGCAGTACATCTACTATCTACAGGACCGTATCTTCGAACTACAAAGGGAAGTTAGCAGCGGTTACAAGAAAGACGAAGACGACGACAACAACAATGGTGCAGGTTCATAGGAGGCACTCTGCAATGATCTATATTGCACATGCCCTAATCACAAGAACAAGGGGCCTCCGTCGTCACCCCTGCCACCACCACCACCAACAATAGGAGGCTACTGTGGAGAAGGCGCAACACAATTTGCTATGTGACCACACTATTAGGATGACCCTATCTTATTCACATGGCACATCCATGTATTTATTGTTTGGTTTAATTACCTAAGGTATGTTAGGTTCAGTTGAAGGAAGTATGTACCCTTGTTTGGTACATGTCCTCACATGCCATTTCGTGTGCTTGTTGTTCGTTTTAATTACCTAAGGCATATTAGGTTTAGTTCAGGACCTCTGTACCCTAGTTTGGTACATATTCTCACATGCCATTTCATGTGTTGTGCGTGTTGAATTATATAATGCCCTACTTCGTTAGGTTTTATTTGTAGTACGTGATCTCATTTCACTGCATCCGCAATATTAAACTGAATATTATGACCACAGATAATAAAAACAACGACATAATAAAAAGTTCAATACTATGACATATTAAACAATACAATAATACTAGAAGTACATACTGACAAACTAAATAACGCAGTACATGACCTAAGTATGCCAATACTTAAAGTGTATTATATGACAACATAATAAAAAGTCCAATAGTAGTCAACATTGTTCATGAAAAAATCATAGAACTAGCAAGTCATGAAGACTACTGAGTGCAACGAGGCCAATTTTTCTTTCTCAGGGCATCAAGATTCTCCTTCATCGCTGCTTTCGCTCGGCGTGCACGCTCAAGCTTCTTCTCCCTGTACGCAGCAACACGCATCCTTTCCTCCTCTTCCTTATGCTCCTTTTCTGCAGCCTCCTCTCTGCGTCTCTTCTCCATCATCTCCTTGTCCTCTGCCTCCTACCGCAACAGTTCTGCATTCATTCTTTGTCTTCAAGCTTGATCTCAGTGTCAATCCACTACTTAAAATCACAGAGCGGTGGAGGGGTCTGCAACAAATACAATTGTTACAAAACAAAAAAATCATGCAAGATTTTATATGACACAAAATAATTATTACACAACATCAATTCATCACCATCTTGTTAATGCGGCGCTGACAAAGTGTAGGTTCAAAGCCAAAATTGGAACACATCAAATACCTCTGCATATATGTGTCCTCTTCATCGGACTTGGCTACCTTGTAAGGATCGTCGCAAAAAGCACATGGACACTGGAACACCACTAGGCAGAGGCAATGGGTCGAAGGCATTTTCGGTCATCCGACCATAACTACAATTTAATCAATTTTATTCTAAGAACCAAAAGCAATTAACATTAAACCATAAACTAGGGTTTTCATTTGATCCACAACAATGAACCCATAATATAACAACATGTGCTGAGGTTAGCCTTGGCATCCTACGGTTGTATAATACAAATATTAAAAATTACATGAAGCCCTAAGTAATGACGATTCTTAGGTTGAAAAATCTGACTAATATATATTGAATCGATGCGAAAAAAACTAGGAGGGGAGCGATGATACCTTGCTTTCAAAGATCTACGGATCAAATCAAAGTTTCCAAGATCCAATATGTCGATTCGTGAGGTAGGGCGAAGTGGGAGAGAAAAAATCCAAGATGGATGATAAAGAAAAGGAAAAGACCTTGTCCAGAAAGGTTGGGCGGCAAGTTAAAACACCACCTCGGCATCATAGATCTTGGCATCAAGCTCGGCGCCAATGACCCCGGCACCGAGGTGGCTGCCATGTGACCGCCACGTCTGCATCGACGCCGACGTGGCCGAGTAATCTCGGCGCGCCGAGACATGTAATCTCGGCGCCAATTACTGCGGCGCCGAGTTGAGGGTGCAGATTTTAAAAGCATAGCTTGGCATATTTGTGACAAACTTTAAAAAAAGAATAAAAACAAAAACAAAAAATTCAGGTTCTGATGTCTCGTCCCTCCCACACCCATCGCCCGTCATCTCCGGTCATCGCCCGTCCTCACCTTCTGCGCCGCGCGCGCCCCCCCCCCGCCTTTGCCGCCCAGTTCCCCTCGACGCCGTGGACGCGCGAACCAACACCCAAACTGACTGTTCCCAACAGATAACACACCCGTCTGCGGCAGCAGCAGCTCCCACGCTGCCCGCCGGCGCAGGTCCGGCGAGCGTGGCCAGCCAAGCTCTAGGCCCCGCCTCCGGGCCCAACCCTAGCCACCTCCCGCAACGCCGGGGGCGGGGGCGCCATGCTGTTCCAGGTGGGAGGGCAGGGCGCGCGGCCCACCTTCTTCGAGATGTCAGCCGCGCAGCAGCTGCCCGCCAGCCTCCGCGCCGCCCTCACCTACTCGCTCGGGGTAAAACCGCCCTCCTCCTCCCCTTGCTCTTGCTCGTCTCCGATTGGATCCATCGAATCGCCGAGGTTGTGTGCCTGGTTCGGGGGATTGTTTAATCGTGCGTGCCCCCTTTGGTATGGCTCGTAGGATGGTGCAGCTTCGGGGCAATGCATTGAAATGCTCTAGCTTGAGGACGATTAAATAGCTCAAGCACTGTTTCTGGTTTGACGTTTCATTACCAGTTCGTAACGCAAAACTGAGCCGTCAAGTGCTGAATATCTCTGTTTAGCTACCTTTGAGACCCAGAGTGGACTAGTAGTGAACTAGTGATATGGGATCATCAACATTCACTGATATTTTGATGTTCATCATGTAGTAGCAAGAAAAAACCCACATAGAACTTGACATCTACTTCTTTCATACATTCAACTGACATTCTATGGTACTTTATGTGTAGCGGTACATTAGATATGAACTTCTGTAGGGATGTGAATTGGTGACCCTAAGGGCATCCACCATGTCTCTTCAGTTGTGCAAATTGTACTAGTTTCCCAGAGGGCTCATTTTGGAAACCACGTGCAATTTGTTGAACTAAAGAGGGTGGTGAATATGTGGATACCCTTAGGGCCACCAATTCGCATCCCTAAACTTCTGGGAAAGCACCTTGTGCAAAACATGCTGGAGCATGTTTTCAGGGTTCTTGATGTAATAATGATTTGATTGCATCCTTTGTTTGTACATATCTTAAGTCTAAAGTTAATATACTTTTGTTTCTTTGCTGCACATGCTATTACGTTTCCTTCGTGCTGCCTGATAAGTGCTAAACCAACTGATAGCCATGTCTCTGTCTATGAAGTGCTAAACCAACTGATACCCTTTTGCTATAGCTATAATGAATTATCCAGATGTTTCAGTTTATATGAAGGAACTTTTCTACAGCATCTAGTTAATCTTTTTTATTGTTGATTGCACAAATATCAGTGCAGCAGCATCAAAACTTTAATGGTTGTTTTTGGGAGGCGGGGGGAGGGGTTGCCTTTTTTCTCAGGAAGTAACAAGTGCTATGTTAGCCTACCCCAACTTGTTTGGGACTTAAAGGCTTTGTTGTTGTTGTTGTTGTTGTTGTAAGTAACAAGTGCTATGTAGTTTTGGCTAAAACAGCATAGTTTTGTGATCAGATCATGTTCTCTCTTCTCCAAACTTATTGTTGTCGAACACCCATCTATGTCATTCAATTATGTACAACTTCTTCCATTTGCAGGTTTTTGCGCTAAGAAGACCATTACTACACAAAGTTTTAGATTATGAAGACGAATTCTTTGCTTTGTTAATGGGCGTCCTTGAGTCCCATAGTCTACGGACAACAGGTTCATTATTGACTCTTTCAGCATAAAAAATTTCGACTTGTTTAGGACACTTGTAACGTAACTGGGCATGCAGGAAAGGAATGGAACAATGCATTAGAACTTGAGTTTTCTTCTTCTTTTTTTCTTTGGCAAGCCCCCTTGGATACGGATTACTAAGAAATGAACCTTTCTCGAATGTGACTGAGGAAATTCCATGCATCAATATAGTGATATTTCAATAGGGTCAATCATCATTCTTATCCTTATCTGTCTCATACTCTCATATCCTACATGTCATATTAGGTTATTGGAATAGTACTATCTAACCATACAAGTCTGTGGTTAGTGGAATGAAATGATCCCCTTCTTGAACCAACTTATTGTGCAAACCAAACACTGAATCAAACAGCCTAGAAGTGCTATGTTAACTTAGGTCTTACTTTAATCTTATATATGTGAATTGTTACCCATGCAACTTGTCAAATAGACAAACTTGACTCAGCACATGGCTTGTTCTTTGATATCCCTAATTTTAACTGTCCTGATTTTGTTCCTTCCAGATGGTTCCTTTTCAGAGTCATTATATGGTCTCAGGAGGAGACCTGTTAAGGTTTCAGTGAAGAGAAAAAGTCCTGGTACAGAATCCAGTGACAAAGTCTATGATTCTGCACTAAGGAAGCGCCAGAAAATCCTTTCGGTTGTTTTTTTGGTAGGATGCCCTCAGCTTCTTTGTACTGTAGTTTTCTGTCTTCTTTGTTTTTTTTCCCTTTCCTTGGGGAAACATACTTATGCTCTTGCCAGTTAGCTAGTGGTGTAAAAGAATGAATTGATAAATTAATCACCAATTCTATTACTGTCAATAGCATATGAACTAGATTTAGTACTTGTCAATAGCATATGTTTGTTACTCTTGACTCATAAGATATTTCTATTCCAGTATGCACCTTGAATTGCTCGTTAAAGTCAAGCTGACTTGTTTTTTTCCCCTCAAACTACGCATGAGAACTGCGTGTCATTTCATTAAGTAGAGAAAAAAAAGAGAAAACCAAAGGAGAGGCAAAACCAACTCCCTTAGGCCACCTAGTACAAGACTAACAGCATCACTCGCTGCAAAGAAAGAAACAAGCTGATTTGTTTGACAGTGTGATTTGCTTTTCTTCAACACATAGGAGAGCTGCGTATCTTATATTAAAGACAGCAGAAGCAAAAAGGTCCCTTAATGACCCTTACAAACAACCACTCTAATTCCACTAGAAGAACAGAGGGGTTGTAATACTGAAAAGAAAAAGATATCCCAAGTAAATTAGGATAACAAACCGACAAAGACTATACAACTAACCCTCATAATGACCTAGTTCCTGTTATTGGAGCTTTTTGGCTCCAGCAAGACCCCAAAAGTCTCAACTCGAAGAATTGATGTGCTACCTGTAGGGAGGGGGAGATGCTATCAAAAACATATTTGTTCTTCTGATTCCATAAGGTCTAGGTCCCCAAAATCACAGCGCTATTAAATCCCTTCCTTAGCTTTGTTAATGCGAAGACTTGCTTCTCCAGCAAAGCTTGGTTCTGATCATCTGGGCGTAACATGCCCAAGACCAACAGGTGCTAGTGGAGTGTGCCAAAACTGCCGAGAGAAGACACAAGTAGTTAAGATATGCTGGACATTCTCCTCATGATCGCACATCACACATTGCTCAGGATGAGGAAGCCCTCTATGTGCCAATCGATCTGCTGTCCAACATTTGTTTCGAATAGCAAGCGACAAAAATATTTTGCATTTTGCCGGCCGTCATGCTCGAATGTAATAGAGCCACACAAGAATGCCCTGTAGCTAGATTTGGATTAGAATGATCCGCTTACTTCATGCCTCCAGAAGCGCTGATCAACTTTCTGAGTTGAGGTCACCTGTTCTGGAGTGAAAATTACAAAGGCCTTTTGCTTAGTTGCTCTGATACTGTTACTGTATTACTGATTTCATTAATCTTCAATTTTGTTAGTTTGTTGGCATTTGGTAGTGATATATATGCTGCAATTGCTTCTTGTGGTACCAAGTTGCTGTATAACGATATATAATATTCTAATTTCTAATATGGTACATTGTACTATTAATAGTTAGTTTATGGCTGCTTACCGGCATATTCTACCCTACTCCTTAGCGTACCCCTTTCTTTGGGGAAATGTATTGGAGATGCACATTAGTAAAATTTACCTTATGAATCCCAAATTTAAAGTATATCTTGTTGTTTAATCTTTTTGTATGGAACTGTTAATTTCTGATTTCAGTAGTCCATGTTTTTGCATCGTGCCATTCTCAAAATGCAGCCATCTAAAACTTTAGTCATGTCTAAGATAATTAGACGACTATGTGTATTTATATAAGCAAATATGTACCAATTTTTGTTATATAATGATCTTATTGGAGACAGAATATTTCTTCTCTTTACGCTTAACTCCTGCCAATATTATTGTAGGTTGTTTTGCCATATTTTAAGTCAAAGTTGCAGTCTATATATAACAAAGAAAGGGAAGCCAGGTTGCAGGCAACCCTTTGGGGTCAGGATGATGTTAGATTTGATGAAGCTGGCTTTGTATTAGATCAGGAGCAGACTTCTCAAGCACAGACTGAACCTACAACTGGAGAAGTGTCAAATTTGACACGTTTTAAAAAGAATTTTGTGTCACTTATAGGTGTTTGCTATCCATGGATTCATGCAACTAATGAAGGTTTGTCTGCTACTTCCTGAATTTATTTGCTTCAGGGAGTTGATTCTGTCTTTATTGACTTCAGGGAGTTGATGTTATTAAGCACCAGTAAAAAAATCAGAGTCAATTCTAATGTTCTTGTTATCTTTGTATTATCCTTTCTTGACTCTTTATCATTTTAGTTTCCAGTGATGGTGTTTTTGGTCTGTTTGTTCAGTGTAATTCAATTTGATTTGCGTTTCATGTAAAATCAAAAGAATTATGCACTGCCAGCTTATTTGTTTCATTGGTTGGTTAGTGGGTAGTATAAGTTTCACCTATGACGTCATATATTGTTTGCAGGTCTCTCGTTTGCATACCAGCTCTTGTATCTGTTGGATGCTACTGGATTTTATAGTCCAGCACTGCATGTGCTTGGGCTTCATGTTTGTCGTGCTACTGGACAAGAGCTGGTATACTCCCTATTTTATTCTTACTGGTATATTTGTTATTGTTTATGCAGACATATATTTAGAATCTTATTATTACATTATTTTACCAATGTCTTCTTTTTATACGATACAGTGCCTGATGTGTCTTTTCTTGCTTCCTCTGAATAACTAGATGGAATCATCTTCTAGGATATCAAGGATTAGAAATCGTGAACTTGAGAGACTTCGTGGTCCTCCATGGTTCAAGGTAGGAGAGGACAGTAGCTTACTTGTTTCAATTATGAATTCTTGAGTCCTAACTCATGACAAGAACCATTTTGTATGGCGTCTGCAGGCTGTGCAACGAGTGTTCCTTAGTTGTGTGTACACAACTCTAGATTATGCACAAACCGGTTTAATTGCTGCAGTCTTCTTTTTCAAGGTCTGTTCTACAATTTACTATCAGAGAGAATCTAGGATCTTTTAATGTTTCCCTCACTTTATATCTTCTTACAGGCAGACTTCTGAGTTTGGATGGTTAACAGTTATTGAATACTTGATTTGAAATGTGATCAATTATTCTAGAAGGCATCCTCTTAACTCTTTGAATTTTGCATAACTAAGAAATGAAAGTCCTCACTTGATGATATTTGCAAAACTTTCACCATGTAATGTGAACTTTTAGCTGTAATGTGAACTTAAAACTATTAGCTCTATCCCTGTGGTAGATGTAATGTAATGTGAACCAAGATTCAACTACACAACTGTACTCAGTGTTCTCTTTCTGGTAACCTTATCTAGATGATGGAGTGGTGGTATCAATCTGCTGAAGAAAGAATGTCAGCTCCAACTGTATATCCGCCACCCCCTCCTCCTCCAACTCCGAAGGTACATCTCATGATTACTCATGCCAGCAAAGAGCTACAACCATTCGTTTGTCACAGAATAAATCTGTGATTATGTTTTCTGTATAAGTCCCCACATTTGGTGTTAAATTATAAAACAATGAAATCTTTTAGTTGTTCATGATCATAATCTTATGTGGATCTGTGCCATTTTATTAGGTTGCCAAAGACGGGATTCCCTTGCCACCTGACAGGACGCTCTGCCCCCTGTGCTGCCAGAAGCGCACTAACCCCTCTGTTCTTTCTGTTTCTGGTTTTGTTTTTTGCTACAGCTGCATATTCAAATCTGTCTCTCAGGTGGGTGTTCTACAGATCTAGTATGTCAAAGCCAAATTTTCTCTCCATCACCAACTTATGTGACATTGTCTTGTGCTCCAGCATAAAAGGTGCCCTGTCACACTAATGCCTGCCAGTGTTGAGCAAATCAGGCGTCTCTTCCACGATTTGTAGCCATGAAAGACCCCAAAACTTCCTGTTTTCTAAAGACAACGGACTTCAGCACACACAAACATACATCAGAACCACCGTTTTGTTACACTAGAAGAAACTCGGCCTCAATGTACCCTTTTCATACTGAAGCAAATGCATGGATGGCACTTTCTTCTCGTTTTCCTTTGTACTTTTATTTTTCGTCCATTGGAAATTGCACGGCAAAAGCAAAGCTGAAGTTTTAGCTGACAGTCTTAGAACAGGGTGTATAATCTGTTGTTAGGTGATACTAGCAGATCCATTTAGATGAGGTGACTGTAACCAGTTACCCACTGAGAGGTAATTGTATACCTGCATGACAATTTTCGGTCATGTAAAGGTTATGATTAGTCTTCATTTCCTTGTAAAAAAAAATTGTCTGTACTTTTGGAACGGTCCTGCTGTTTTTTGCGACGTTATCGGCTGTTTGGAGTAACCTCCCAGAGTATATGTGTTGTATTTTACTCGCGTCGTACTTACACTGTAAATGCTCCTAGCATGAGTTTTGTTTACATTGTTCGTCAACTTTGTGTTCTCTTGAACTTTGGTGCTTTGGCAGAATTACAAGTGCCTATTTGGCGCAGCTCCTGAGTCTGCCCCAAGAGCTCTTGAATCGGAGCCAGCTGCTCTTAAAAAAAAAAAAAATCTGGCTCCTTTTGCATGCATATAAAAATAGCAGCTCTAGGCTGTTTAGATTGAAAAAAATTCAACCGGATGAATAGTAAAAAATTGTTTAAGCCCTAAGTTCAAAAGATTCATCTCGTGATTTTTTATTTTTTTTATCTATATTTAATGCTTCATATAAACGATTAAAAATTGGTGATGCGAGAGAGTGAAAAAATGGAATTTTCATCAAGGCTTCTAAGATTTCTTTAGCTTTTCTGCTGAACCTGCTTTTGGGACCAGAGCCGTGTTAAATAGTCCCTAATTGTAGCTAATTGATCAGGCGTACTGTTTAGGGATTCAACATTTCAACTGCCTGTGTAGCTAATTGAACGTCAGATTATTAGAGTCATTATTACTATGTGCTCCGCACGAAATTCTCCTATTCGTTAAGGTAAGAATAGTTGCATGCGCACGCCTTCAATTTTCGTGCAGCCGAACAGGCGCTGCCGCATGGCATGCTCATCCGCATTCCGTTATTCTGTTCGTCCATCGACTCCATATTTCTCGAAACAGATTGCGATTTCTCTTCCTCTTCCTCTACCTCACCATATCTCTCTCTTTGCAGGAAAAACAATGTCTCCTTGCAGTAACAGCCGATCGACTCCATGAATCTTCAAAAAATTGTCAGTGGGAAACTCCACGGTTTTATCGATAGAGCAGGAGAGATAGAAGAAGGCGAGAGCGATCCATAAACTATGACCACAGTCCAAGCCTCTATCTATAAAGCAAAAAAAAAAACATCAATAACTCCATGCTGTTACAATCGAGAGCTCAAGCCATCACGACGCGTTCTATATCCTTGTATGCAGGTATGTTGCTCTTTTGGTCTGTCTAGAAAATTTTTTTTCATAGTGTGCTTTTCAAAGCCCCTTTTTCTCTCATGAGCTCTGTTATACCCTGCTTTTTAAAGTCTACATTTTGCATATGACTATATGACCTTGACAAATAATAATTATTTTTAGGACATACCATTGATTTTTTTTTACTGCAGCGATATGCAGTGAGATGTTCTGTTTATCGTATCAGTTAATTTTTAAGTTTTGATTTCTTTCTTTACGTTTTATACTAGTCGACGCCTTCAGGTTCATCTAGATGTAAACTAATTATCATTGATGAAATTTTCATATTTCAGTTCAAATGTCACTGATGGTATGTTTTTAGTTTTACCAGAGAATGATTGAATTCTCAAATGTCTGAGTTTTCGATTCTAGCTTCATCATGGCTACACTATTAACTTTGTATCCAAATTAAAATTTAGTTTTGAGATATCCCAACAATGTAACTTCTATATTACAGCATGCATGCACTTCTTGAGAAGAATTTGTATCAACTTCAACATGTATGTCCCAAGGCATTGGGAATTCATCTAGTTATACATGTTAATCATACATCATATTAACTTATTAATGTTTTCAGGCACAGACGTCCAACCAAATAGAGTTTCTTAAGATTTGCATGTCGAGGCGAAACTCGTCAATTTTCTAGAAAATTCCTAAGTAACCACTTTTTGTCAGGTAAGTAATCTAGGGCATCTAACAAAGCATGCCCTCGACGCCTATTGCCGACACTCCCACTGCCTAGTCTCCCACCACTATGGTGGTCCACCCACTCGTCACCTCACCATCTTGCCCTGTTGCAATAGCTCGCTTTTACTACTAGCCAATAGCCTTTCTGGCTTCCCACGAGAACCCTTGCTTCGGCAACACATGTAAATATAAAATCACTAACCCTAATATGGAAAATATTGAGACCTAGCGGTGCGCCAGCACCTGTCAAATCTCAAGTGGAATCGGAGGTTTCTTCTTAGACTACCCACAATATAGGTCATGTTCGCTTGTCTTATGAGTCGTACTATTTTAGCAAATGAACAATGTTTTTCTCTCACAACAAATCAGCGAACAGTACTTTCAGCCATGACTTTTTAGCAATGCGGAATTGATGCTGAGCACCCAACGTCACAATGTTCAGCATCGACATGCATGTGCCTATAGAGACTAGCATCAGACCATCATCTTCATTTCCCATGCGTGAGAAAACATCTGCGCCGGCTGAGAGACAATTGTTTACTTCCTCTGCATCGATGCAAGTAGATCACCCAATGCTAGCTTTTTTGAATTTGAACTCGACATCGCTTCACACAATGGCACTACCCTATGCCCAAAGTCACTTTTTCTTATTTCAACATCGATTCTGATTCACATCGTGGTTAATCTTAGTTCTTCCTTCTTCACTCCTCTTGATATAACGCTGACATGAGAGTCTTTTTCTCAAGGTAGATGCCATGTAAAATCTATATGACATGCGACCTAATAGAATCATAGAACAACACACTTGGCTCGCATGTTTCATGCTACTTGGTACAACGCTAATTGCATCTCCGATCATGAGCCGTCAGCGAGAAAAAAAAAGGAGTTTGTCTACGCATCACTCGAGTGTTTCCGGTGCCCAGAACACTCGATTTCTTTCCTTCACATCTTCTTCCTCTGACGACACGCTGCCGTCGCCCACCGGCCACCACATCCGCAGCGACCTCCTCCTTCCCCTCCCTCTTCCGCCGCCCGCTCCGACGACGTCACCGCCACCTCTGTCTCTCCCACGCCCACCGTCTGGCGTGTCTGCCTCCCAAAAAAATCTCTTCTAAGCCCACCAAAAATGGAGAAGCAAGTGCTGAAGACGGAGAAGAAGAGAACACTCGAGTGAGGCGTAAAATTACTGAAAATAAAAGGCATGGACCAAGATTTTTGTGCAATCCAACATAAACTGGGACGGAGCCCAGTCAAAACCCACACGTCTCTTATTGCACGCGCTTCCAAACGCACCATCTTTTTATTCTCGTCATCAAAAAGCCCGAAGCCTTCTCCGTTCTTCGCCTTCACGTCTCTAAGGTCTTCGACAGCCGCAAACCTCTCTCCCTCGTCTGGTATCGTCTCTCCCACACCCAAAAAAACCCTCGAAAAGCGGCGGCGGCGCGACATGGCGGAGGTCGAGGTTCCAGCGGCTGCGGTCGCGACGACGACCCCTGAGGCGGCGGCGACCGAGGGCGGACCCGCTACGGAGGTGAAGGGTCCGCACAAGCTGCACCGGCAGTGGACCTTCTGGTACGACATCCAGTCGAAGCCCAAGCCCGGCGCTGCGTGGGGCACCTCCCTCAAAAAGGCCTACACCTTCGACACCGTCGAGGAGTTCTGGAGGTACGTTGGCGCTGCCGCGGATACCTTCCTTCATGCCCCGGTTCCCTGCCTGATCCGTTCCGTTCGGATCTGATCTGGATGCCGTGGTGGTTCGGGTGTACCAGTTTCTGTGCGTGTTTTGGGCGGTCATGTGGCGGCAGGAGTTGTTCATACAGTAGATAGGGTTCTAGGTTACCTTATGCCAACAAATCTGAAACGATTAGATGAAATTCGATTGGGTTTTGTTTATTCATGATATCGCTGGTTCCTGTTTGCATCGGATTTGATTGCCTAATCGTTGATTGCCCGTGGCTGATTTTTCACGTAAGCCGTCCCGTTTAGTTGTGTATATATAGGGCATGGTAAAAGCTGAAGTGAGAGGCCTTTTTTCAGCCAACGAACGTATTTTTCTCTCACAACAAATCAACCAACGGTACTTTCAGCCATGGCTTATCAGCCAAGCGAACAGGGCAGATCAAGAGCCCAAAATGGAAATATACTCAATGTCAGAATTACCAAAACCAAAAAAGGAAGGAGAAGGAAATAGAAGCCAAATCCGACTGTTACGTCTTCGGCAATCTCCACCTCCAGCGAGCTCCGGTTTAAGGTTTTGGGGAGCTGCACCATTTCTGGCCTTAGAAGGGGAGGGGGGCCAGGGGAGGCGGCTGGACTGGTGGCTGGAGGGGCGGTGGCTGGACTGGCTGTTGGGCGGAGCTGGTAGCGGGGGCTAGGGGCTGGGCTTTCCTCCTCCGATTGGGATTAGGGGTGGGCGGGCGGCAGAGGCGCCGCTGGACAGGGCTGGCGGTGGATGCCAGTGGCGGGGTGGGGATGGGGGAGCGACGATCTGTTGAAGGATGGGCTGGTTCCTGTTTGCATCGGATTTGATATGCCTGATTGCTGATTGCCTGTGGCTGATTTTTCACGTAAACTGTCCCGTGTAATTGTATATATAGGGTATGGTATGAGAGGCCTCTTGATTCAAGCTAAATCGAGAGCCCCAAAATGGAAATAAACTGTCAGAATTTCTGAAACCAAAAAGGAACGAGAAGTAGAAGCCAAATCGAACGGTTACGTCTTTGGCAAGCTCCCAGTAAGGTTTTGGAGAGCTGCACCATCTCTGACCTTGGGTGGTGGTTGGGGGGGCGGCAGGGTAGGCGGCTAGACTGGCGGTGGCGGCGGCTGGAGGGGCGGCGGGAGACATCCGGTTGGGTGAAGCTGGCAGCAGGGGATAGGGGCTGGGCTTTCCTCTGATTGGGATTATGGGTGGGTGGCCAGTGGGGGCGCCACTGCACAGGGCTGACGGTGGAGGCCAGTGGCGGGGTGGGATGGTTGAGTGCTGAAAGGATGGGGGGTGAACCGATGATGCTGGCGAGTAGGAGGCGAGCGTCCGAGGGCGCCGTGTGTGTGTGTGGGTGGTGGGTGGGGGGGGGCTAAATGGAGGGGGGATGGGGTGTAGGACGGGAGAGCTGGAAAACCAAAAGAAGAAGATAAGAAGTTGGGGCTCACGTGGGGAGGGATGTTGAGTCTTATCTGGTGATCCCTCTCGCCATGGTCAGCTAGTCACCTCCATAGGGTATTCCTTGTTGTAGATTGGCATTTCAGTTGAAGTTTCCACTCTGAATTATATTGAATGAACTGTTTTACAATTCTACTATGTTAATTATTTTTGGTGTGATGCTTTAAGCAGATTGCCTTGCTGCATATATGGAGCCTAGTCTTTTACGAAAGATATGCTCTGCTTGCATTAGACCCTATTCAAATATATAAAAAGTTAGCATCTTAATGTTTAGCCTTAAGTAATGAGCAATATCTTCTATTAGTTATAATACCTGTGTATGTGCTGTCTTTTGAAGTCAAAAATTCTATATATGTTACTGCAGTTAGCTGGTGCAATTTTGCCTTGTGCCTTCAATTTGGTGGTCTTGTATCCTTGTACTTACAGATCCCTTCTTTCTTGCTGTAGCTTGTATGATCAGATTTTTTGTCCAAGCAAGTTGTCTGGGAATGCTGATTTTCATCTGTTCAAGGCTGGAGTAGAGCCAAAATGGGAAGACCCAGAGTGTGCAAATGGTGGCAAATGGACTGTTCCATGCAACAGAAAGGCAACCTTTGAGAACATGTGGCTTGAAACGGTACACCTTTGTTATATATATTTGATTTGTTCAAGATCAAGCATCTGCTACCAGAGGTTGCCTGAGATGTTCCATTAATGGACTGCTTTTGAATAATTGTTTGAATATGCAGTTGATGGCTCTTATTGGGGAGCAGTTTGATGAAACAGAGGACATTTGTGGAATTGTTGCTAGTGTCCGTGCGAGAGGAGATAAGCTCGCATTATGGACTAGGACTGCCAGCAATGAAGCTGTCCAGGTTGGTTTTCAAAACCATTCTAATCAAGTTCAGTGCTGATATCTTCTTATGCATCATAGTATCTAGGTTCATATATCCTGATAAGGGGGTGAACTTAGTCCAGTGTTTTCTGTGCAAATCCCTAGCTGCTATATTGCCTTATGGAATACATCCTATATATGGTTTGTCCCGCTAACTTGTTGGGTTCAGCTTTTGTAAGTTTTTTATTATTGTTATACCATTATTCTCTTCAAAGGCACAAATTTCTATACCTAAATCATCTCTCTTGAAGAGAACTATATAGTTTGCTAGGAATTTTTGTGCATTTAGTTGTGGTGTGATGTTGCATGAAAGTGGGGACTTGGATTCTCTATTAAGTGTGTTGTTGCAGGAAATACCTGTTGCATTTTCTGGTACTGTTTATGTTGTAACATTGTTACATGAACAATATTCTTCATCCTCTATGCATTTAACGGAATATTGGAAAAAAAAGAGGACACAGAAGCCTTTTCTTTTGGAGAATCTTTGATCATTTTGTAATTTCTTAACAACCCTACTATAGTTTCATCTTTGTGGGGCATGGTTATCTCATTGGACCAACAGAGTCCCATGCTGCAACTGTGATACCTTTTAAGTCTCCGCTGCCCTTATTCTCAAAAAGGACATTATTAACGTGCTGTTCCAATTTCTGAGATGGCCCATTCCTTTTTTTATACAGGTGAACATTGGCAAGAAATGGAAGGATGTCATCGACTACAATGACAAGATCACCTACACTTTCCATGTATGCCTTCAGATTGTTTCTTAAGCTGCTGCTCATAGCTTATTTATTTGTTGAACACTGAGCTCACTATCTTGATGCCTCTCATGTGCAGGACGACTCGAGAAGAGAGAAGCCGAGCAGAGGCGGACGGTACACCGTGTAAGCTGCACATCAAGAAGGTCGCTTGGACTGGATGGTGGGGGGAGTGGAATTTTCTGCTGAGATGGGCACCAACTTTCATTTGATACAGCCTCAGCTTACCCGAGGCAATTTTCGCACCTATTGTGATGTTATTTTGCTTTCAGATAGCTTATGTAGTACAAGAAAGAGATGTTGGAGACATTGACGATTTTGTATGCAACTGGATTTCTATCTGAATATGCCCCGATTCAACAGCACCCAAACGAGTCATTGCATTCTGGAGACTCTTGCGATGCATATCCATGTTTTAGACCTTGTTATAAAATGTTTGGCATTCGTGGAGCCATTGAGCATCTTTCTGCAAGTGTGCCCTGTCAGTAAGATATTGGCCGAAGTGACCAACATTTGTTGCCCTTTTGTGTCGAAGCAACCAACATTTGTTGCCCTTTTGTGTCGGTGTTTTATAAAGTACGTACCTCAATGACGATACGGACTCAGGGTGCTTGTTGCTTCTGCATTTCGGCATTCAGGCGAGTTAACGAAGTATCAGACGGGTTCTCAAGAGAGGGGTTGTTTTGTCGGCGTGGTATCGCGCAAGCACATGTGTCTTTGGTAAGATGGTCTGGATGACTGGATGGCTGTCCTACCACCTGCCATTTATACACGCACTGACTTGGCCGTCACGCGACACGAGCTCGCCATCCTACCAGAAACGGTGAGGCGTCAGCGCGAACCACCCCTTTCGCCCGCGCTGGCCTGTGTGTGGCCTCTGCTCCTTGCGAGTGTGCAACACATTTCCGGGCTTGATCTCGAAGCGAGCCCTGCTGTGTTTGTCATGCACCTGCCTGCCTTGGCTTGTGCTCTAATCAACGCCGGACTCCCCAACTCACGGTTGGTGCGGGACGCCACCCCGCCACCTTACCGCCCGCCTCCCTCGGCGCCTCACCAGTCACCACACCACACCACCTCGCGCCATCAGCTATATCACCCTACTAGACACTTCCGTGTCCCTTCACGGATACCTCCCCCCCCCTGCTCGCTCGCTCGCTCGGCAATCGGCATGGACACCGGCTCGGTCACCGGTGGCCTCGCCGCGGGCTCGCACATGCGGGACGAGCTGCACGTCATGCGCGCCCACGAGGAGGTTAGTTAGTAGTTCCTGTTGCTTTAGTTCGCTCGCTCGCTTTTTTTTTCTTTGTCAGTAACTGATGGCATTGTTACTGATCGATCGGTGGTTGTGGCGGCGACGACGACGACGACGACGGCGCGCGCGCAGCCGAACGCCAAGGTCCGGAGCGCCGACGTGAAGACGTGCCGCGTGTGCGCCGACGAGGTCGGGATGCGGGACGACGGGCAGCCCTTCGTGGCGTGCGCCGAGTGCGGCTTCCCCGTCTGCCGACCCTGCTACGAGTACGAGCGCAGCGACGGCACGCAGTGCTGCCCGCAGTGCAACACCCGCTACAAGCGCCACAAAGGTCGGTACTTGGGTTGGTGCACCTCACCAATAATAGATAGCACACGCCACCAAGTCGGTCGCGTCGCAGTCTACGAAAATTTGAAAGCTTTTGACGGGACGGCTATAAGAAATTTGGTGCGTGCGTGCATGGTGTTGTTGCAGGGTGCCCGAGGGTGGAAGGGGACGAGGAAGAGGGCGCGGAGATGGACGACTTCGAGGAGGAGTTCCCCGTCAAGAGCCCCAAGAAACCTCACGAGCCCGTCGCGTTCGACGTCTTCTCCGAGAACGGCGAGCAGCCGGCGCAGAAATGGCGGACGGGTGGCCACACGCTGTCGTCCTTCACCGGAAGCGGTGAGTGCTCCTCCGGTTGCGTTGATGATGTTGGCATGCATGTTGCAAGATCGATCTGCTGAATATGTGTGTGTGTGTGCAGTGGCCGGGAAGGAGCTGGAGGCGGAGAGGGAGATGGAGGGGAGCATGGAGTGGAAGGACCGGATCGACAAGTGGAAGACCAAGCAGGAGAAGAGGGGCAAGCTCAACCACGACGACAGCGACGACGACGACGACAAGAACGAGGACGAGTACATGCTGCTGGCGGAGGCCCGGCAGCCGCTGTGGCGCAAGGTCCCGATCCCGTCGAGCATGATCAACCCGTACCGCATCGTCATCGTACTCCGCCTGGTGGTGCTCTGCTTCTTCCTCAAGTTCCGGATCACGACGCCCGCCATGGACGCCGTGCCGCTGTGGCTGGCGTCCGTCATCTGCGAGCTCTGGTTCGCCTTCTCCTGGATCCTGGACCAGCTGCCCAAGTGGGCGCCCGTGACGCGGGAGACGTACCTGGACCGCCTGGCGCTGAGGTACGACCGCGACGGCGAGGCGTGCCGGCTGTCCCCGATCGACTTCTTCGTGAGCACGGTGGACCCGCTCAAGGAGCCGCCCATCATCACCGCCAACACCGTGCTGTCCATCCTCGCCGTCGACTACCCCGTGGACCGCGTCAGCTGCTACGTCTCCGACGACGGCGCGTCCATGCTGCTCTTCGATACGCTGTCCGAGACCGCCGAGTTCGCGCGCCGCTGGGTGCCCTTCTGCAAGAAGTTCGCCGTGGAGCCCCGCGCGCCGGAGTTCTACTTCTCGCAGAAGATCGACTACCTCAAGGACAAGGTGCAGCCGACGTTCGTCAAGGAGCGGCGCGCCATGAAAGTACTACCTTCGTCTGCCTCTCTCTTTGTTATAACATCGATCATATATTAACATCGATCATATATATTCAGAGGGAGTACGAGGAGTTCAAGGTCCGGATCAACGCGCTGGTGGCCAAGGCGCAGAAGAAGCCCGAGGAAGGGTGGGTGATGCAGGACGGCACGCCGTGGCCCGGGAACAACACGCGCGACCACCCGGGCATGATCCAGGTGTACCTCGGCAGCCAGGGCGCGCTGGACGTGGAGGGCCACGAGCTGCCCCGGCTGGTGTACGTGTCCCGTGAGAAGCGCCCCGGGTACAACCACCACAAGAAGGCCGGCGCCATGAACGCGCTGGTGCGCGTCTCCGCCGTGCTCACCAACGCGCCCTTCATCCTCAACCTCGACTGCGACCACTACGTGAACAACAGCAAGGCCGTGCGCGAGGCCATGTGCTTCCTCATGGACCCGCAGCTGGGGAAGAAGCTCTGCTACGTGCAGTTCCCGCAGCGGTTCGACGGCATCGACCGACACGACCGATACGCCAACCGGAACGTCGTCTTCTTCGACATCAACATGAAGGGGCTGGACGGCATCCAGGGCCCCGTGTACGTCGGCACGGGGTGCGTGTTCAACCGGCAGGCGCTGTACGGCTACGACCCGCCGCGCCCCGAGAAGCGGCCCAAGATGACGTGCGACTGCTGGCCATCGTGGTGCTGCTGCTGCTGCTGCTTCGGCGGTGGCAAGCGCGGCAAGGCCCGCAAGGACAAGAAGGGCGGCGGCGCCGACGGCGGCGAGGAGCCGCGCCGGGGCCTGCTCGGCTTCTACAGGAAGCGGAGCAAGAAGGACAGGCTCGGCGGCGGCGGGTCGGTGGCCGGCAGCAAGAAGGGCGGCGGCGGGCTGTACAAGAAGCACCAGCGCGCGTTCGAGCTGGAGGAGATCGAGGAGGGGCTGGAGGGGTACGACGAGCTGGAGCGCGCCTCGCTCATGTCGCAGAAGAGCTTCGAGAAGCGGTTCGGCCAGTCGCCCGTGTTCATCGCCTCCACGCTCGTGGAGGACGGCGGCCTGCCGCAGGGCGCCGCCGCCGACCCCGCCGCGCTCATCAAGGAGGCCATCCACGTCATCAGCTGCGGATACGAGGAGAAGACAGAGTGGGGCAAGGAGGTACAGTAACTGATCGATTCTGCGCATGCTTTTCATTTTTGAAAATGGCAAAAGAAAAAATTGCACCAGCCGGGAATCGAACCCGGGTCTGTACCGTGGCAGGGTACTATTCTACCACTAGACCACTGGTGCTTGGATGCTGGAACTGATCTTTCGTTCTATTTGAAACAACATCAGATTGGGTGGATCTACGGCTCGGTGACAGAGGATATCCTGACGGGGTTCAAGATGCACTGCCGGGGATGGAAGTCGGTGTACTGCACGCCGACACGGCCGGCGTTCAAGGGGTCGGCGCCCATCAACCTGTCCGATCGTCTCCACCAGGTGCTGCGTTGGGCGCTGGGGTCCGTGGAGATCTTCATGAGCCGCCACTGCCCGCTCTGGTACGCCTACGGCGGGCGGCTCAAGTGGCTGGAGCGCTTCGCCTACACCAACACCATCGTCTACCCCTTCACCTCCATCCCGCTGCTCGCTTACTGCACCATCCCCGCCGTCTGCCTGCTCACCGGCAAGTTCATCATTCCCACGGTGAGTGAGTGATCGACGACGACTGTACATTCCATCTAGGACATGAACTTAACTGATGCCGTACGTTCCAGCTGAACAACCTTGCCAGCATCTGGTTCATCGCGCTGTTCCTGTCCATCATCGCGACGAGCGTCCTGGAGCTGCGGTGGAGCGGGGTGAGCATCGAGGACTGGTGGCGCAACGAGCAGTTCTGGGTGATCGGCGGCGTGTCGGCGCACCTCTTCGCCGTGTTCCAGGGCTTCCTCAAGGTGCTGGGCGGCGTGGACACCAGCTTCACCGTCACCTCCAAGGCGGCCGGCGACGAGGCGGACGCCTTCGGGGACCTCTACCTCTTCAAGTGGACCACGCTGCTGGTTCCCCCCACCACGCTCATCATCATCAACATGGTGGGCATCGTGGCGGGCGTCTCCGACGCCGTCAACAACGGGTACGGCTCGTGGGGCCCGCTCTTCGGCAAGCTCTTCTTCTCTTTCTGGGTCATCGTCCACCTCTACCCGTTCCTCAAGGGGCTCATGGGGAGGCAGAACCGGACGCCCACCATCGTCGTGCTCTGGTCCATCCTCCTCGCCTCCATCTTCTCGCTCGTCTGGGTCAGGATCGACCCGTTCATCCCCAAGGCCAAGGGCCCCATCCTCAAGCCATGCGGAGTCGAGTGCTGAACTGCTGATGCATGAGCTCACCTAGCTAGCTTCC